CCAAAACCCCAAAACCCCAAAACCCCAAAACCCCAAAACCCCAAAACCCCATTTGTATTACATTGATAAAATAGAATGAAGATAATGATTATTAAATCATACTAATTCAACTTCTAATATTCAATCAAGTTTAAGCTAATATTCTTATCGATCAGGCTTCCCTTCATTAAGAAATTAGCTTGAGCACTTCGAATTGATATCACTCCTTCTTTTTGGCTGATTTAGGTCTCTTTGCACTCTTAAGTCTTGTGGCTTTCTTCTTCTCATTTTCGTCTTGCAAGCATTAGTCATTGAAGTTAATTAGAGTTGAGATCGGAATGTTGTCGTTGACATTGTCATCATCGTTAAGAATTGCTTGAATGGCTTGTTGCACTTTGGAAGATGGCATACCTTCATAATCTTCTGTAGTTCTCTCAGGCATATCGAGATCAAGTTGCAGAATGTTGTCGAACTTGTATCTGGGATTCAAGTCTCCGAGACCTTTGGCTATTCTAGAGTACTCTGAAGTTGGTCTTTTCATACCAACAGCTGATTGAGGTCTCTTGGAGCCTGCCTTAGTCTCCTTGAAATCAGGTTTTCTGATAACCCAGTCATTGATATCATCATTCCATTCAGTGATCTTCTCAATCTTCTTGTAATCCTCAGGTGGAATGAAGTTCTCAATAATGAGGTTTTTAAGTTTGAGCTGATTACTCAATTCATAAATGGTATCGTACATATCATTTCTCTCTCTGTCAAAATCATCTCTGATATTGTTATGTTCATGAGTTAGCTCTTGATATTCTTTCCAGAGGTTTTCCATTTTTTGATTGGTGAACTCAAGCTCTTCTTGCAAGTTGTTGAATTTCTTGATAATCTGCATTCTGCCTTTTTCCTTCTCTTTCAATTACCTTTGCAGATCTTCTTCTTGCTGTCTCTCTTTTTCCAGAATTTTCTTTGTCTTCATCAATTCTTTCTATTGTTTCTTAGCAACTTCCATGACTTAGGAACCAGCAATCATCTTTTCCTCCATTTTCTTAAGCTTTTGAATCAGTTTTTGTTACTTAGACTTAGCCTTCTCCTGCTCTTGCTCTCTCTTTTGTAGTTCTTCAAGAAGTTTTTGCTTCTCCTCTTCTCTTAAATTTTTTTGTTGGATAATAAGCTACTTTTCCTCCTCAGCTTTTTTTCTGATGTCATTCTTTTCTTATTAAAGTTTGTCTTCAAATTCCCTCATCTTTTCCTTATCTTCAATAAAGATTTGCTTCTCAACTTCAATGACTTATTTTCCAATGATACCATGCTTCTTCATCAACTCACTAGGGTCAGCCCCTGATTAGATAGCTGCTAATTGTTGTCTCAACTTTTGAACTTCATCTTGATATTCTCTCAAAAGAGCATCTTTAGGATCCTCGTTAATTCTTGGCTTATTTTGAATATTCTTAGCTCTACTGGCATATCTGAGGGTATTAAGAGTTTCATCATAGTTATAATCTGCAGGTCCAACATTGGCAATCATAACAGTCTTTGTATTACCTCCAAGGGAATCTTACAAAAGTCTTGTGAGCTTAGATTCTCTGTATGGAATATAAGTAGCTTTTGGATCAGTAAGAGCTGAAATAACATGGCACAATGTTGAAAGAGATAAATTAATCTTAGCAGCTTCCTTTGCTCCGTCACCAACGGCTCCAGTCTTAGATAGTCTTTCACTACCAGCCAAATCAACCATGTTTAGTTTACCCACTCTAATATGTGGTTTGCCATCTGCTCCAATTTCAGATCTTTCAACAGTAATAGTGAACAGCGAATGTGATCTACTAGAGGCGGCATTCATCATAGTCTCTCTAACCGATCTGTTCTTCTACCCAATATTCATGACCTCTCTGATTTCTGACACATCCTTTACAGCAAAGTAACTTAAATCTTTTACATAAACTCCTGAGTCAGGCTTTTCGTGGAGATCAAGTTTTTTCTTGGGATTCTTAGAAAGCAAATCCCTGCACTCTTCATTGTAGATTTCGAGATATGAAGCTCTTATAAGGAACTGAGTTTTCACAGAGTCACTTTGGACGCCCTTGAACACATCCTCAAAAGCACGAGGAATAATACCCCTTTATTTATGATCATCTTCAACTCCAGCCATTGTGTGAGTCTTACCAGTACCTGTTTATCCATATGCGAAAATAGTACCATTGTAGCCCTCGAGTACATTAGAAATAATTTATGCAGAGGTGTTTTCATAGATCTATTACTGTGAGTTGTTCCAATCGAAAGCCGCATCAAATGTAAATTACTTAGGAGGCTCATCTGTGAATGGTCTCTTCACAAAGATTTCTCCAGTATTCTTGATTTCGACAACAACAGTGTGGCCAGCATTCATTTCACCTGTGCTTAATGGTCTGCATCTAATACAGACTTTCACTGACTCTGATTCTTTTGATTTCTTTTGCATATTTAATTTTTCTAAATTTTGAATTTAAGATCTTATATTTAAAAATGCTTTGCTTCAGAAACATACATTATTAGCTTGTGGGGTTTTGGGGTTTTGGGGTTTTGGGGTTTTGGGG